CAGTGGTTATGAGTATTAGGTGTAGTGGTTGAGTTGTTTGAGTATGTGCAATGTTGGTTGTGTAAGTGAGTGTGAGAGTAGTAGTTGTGTGTAACGTTGTGACAGAGGCAGAGATGGACAGTGTGATAGTCGGTGGTCGATCGTGTGTGTGTACGACGACTGGTTTTATTGTGGGTGATGGGCCGGTGACGGCCTAGAAAAATTGCATCCGACAACGATATTTCACGCCATCGGTGCGGGGTATTGGGAGTAGTTTTCAACTAGCAATAACCGCGCCTCAGATAAACTTCATTGGCTACGGTACCGCCACTGCGCAAAGTCAACCGAACAAGTCCAATCAACACGTGGCCACCATTTCGCTCAAACCAAATCACCAGCCATCCATTTGCACATCAAACGTCACAACGTGCACAAACACCACACTGCATTGCACCATTCCACAAACACACACTTCCAACATCAAAACCCACCCCGGAATCAACATTCTCATCCACATCAACACCGAACAACACTCACTGCACAGCTACACTTTCCATCATCTACACATGTCACCACTTATACTACTTATACACACATTCTCAGTAGCTAGTCGCCTTGTCACAAAAGTCAACTTCTCAACAATAACCTCTATACTACAATGCGACAACCACACACATGTGAACTGCACTAAAACAGCCGTTGTACACAATTCGACTGAAGCACACTCTCACTCGTCTACACAACCACACTCACTCACTAACACCAATGTGAACCGCTCCCATGGAGACTCGACAAAACTGTCTCACCGAGAATCACCTCGTCGTCATTTAGTGTAATGTCAAATTATACTATGGAACGGCTCAGTCACAAGCCACCCAGTCTACCAAGTGTTCTGCACAATTGATGATGTCGCACTCATCAATCATTGTGCTTCGTACAGATATATAAAGGAGAGAGTGAGAGGTCCCATATGCTAACAGGTGAATGAATAAGCATCTCAGTCGATCGGTGAGCACAGCGAACAATTACAAGTTGATCTGCTATACTGTATCGATCTGACCCTCGGTTCATCACCCTAAACATATTCCGCAATATCACCCAAATTCTACTTCATGCTAATGATCAGAGTGGTTGTCAGGATGATGTGTGCTTTCTGATCGATGTGCAGTGAGACTGTGTTCGAGTGATTCGAGTTTCACTTGTGCTGTCGTGACCAATGGACATGTGTGTCACATGGAATGTGTGCATGCCAGCGGGTGAATGAGCGAGCCAGTGTTTATGTGTGTGACTGATTTTCAGCAGCCTACATAACAAATGATTGTGGTGATCAAAGTTTGCATAGTGGTTGTGAGTGAATGATGTGTTGCTGCAGTAATGTGTTAAGGGAGTTGCGTGCATGACCGACAGACAATTGAGTGTGTTTTTTTATGTTGTAAGTGTTGAATTGTGAGGCCGTGTAATGCAAATGTGTGTGTAGTGGAGGTGAGGTAAGTGACCAGTGGTTATGAGTATTAGGTGTAGTGGTTGAGTTGTTTGAGTATGTGCAATGTTGGTTGTGTAAGTGAGTGTGAGAGTAGTAGTTGTGTGTAACGTTGTGACAGAGGCAGAGATGGACAGTGTGATAGTCGGTGGTCGATCGTGTGTGTGTACGACGACTGGTTTTATTGTGGGTGATGGGCCGGTGACGGCCTAGAAAAATTGCATCCGACAACGATATTTCACGCCATCGGTGCGGGGTATTGGGAGTAGTTTTCAACTAGCAATAACCGCGCCTCAGATAAACTTCATTGGCTACGGTACCGCCACTGCGCAAAGTCAACCGAACAAGTCCAATCAACACGTGGCCACCATTTCGCTCAAACCAAATCACCAGCCATCCATTTGCACATCAAACGTCACAACGTGCACAAACACCACACTGCATTGCACCATTCCACAAACACACACTTCCAACATCAAAACCCACCCCGGAATCAACATTCTCATCCACATCAACACCGAACAACACTCACTGCACAGCTACACTTTCCATCATCTACACATGTCACCACTTATACTACTTATACACACATTCTCAGTAGCTAGTCGCCTTGTCACAAAAGTCAACTTCTCAACAATAACCTCTATACTACAATGCGACAACCACACACATGTGAACTGCACTAAAACAGCCGTTGTACACAATTCGACTGAAGCACACTCTCACTCGTCTACACAACCACACTCACTCACTAACACCAATGTGAACCGCTCCCATGGAGACTCGACAAAACTGTCTCACCGAGAATCACCTCGTCGTCATTTAGTGTAATGTCAAATTATACTATGGAACGGCTCAGTCACAAGCCACCCAGTCTACCAAGTGTTCTGCACAATTGATGATGTCGCACTCATCAATCATTGTGCTTCGTACAGATATATAAAGGAGAGAGTGAGAGGTCCCATATGCTAACAGGTGAATGAATAAGCATCTCAGTCGATCGGTGAGCACAGCGAACAATTACAAGTTGATCTGCTATACTGTATCGATCTGACCCTCGGTTCATCACCCTAAACATATTCCGCAATATCACCCAAATTCTACTTCATGCTAATGATCAGAGTGGTTGTCAGGATGATGTGTGCTTTCTGATCGATGTGCAGTGAGACTGTGTTCGAGTGATTCGAGTTTCACTTGTGCTGTCGTGACCAATGGACATGTGTGTCACATGGAATGTGTGCATGCCAGCGGGTGAATGAGCGAGCCAGTGTTTATGTGTGTGACTGATTTTCAGCAGCCTACATAACAAATGATTGTGGTGATCAAAGTTTGCATAGTGGTTGTGAGTGAATGATGTGTTGCTGCAGTAATGTGTTAAGGGAGTTGCGTGCATGACCGACAGACAATTGAGTGTGTTTTTTTATGTTGTAAGTGTTGAATTGTGAGGCCGTGTAATGCAAATGTGTGTGTAGTGGAGGTGAGGTAAGTGACCAGTGGTTATGAGTATTAGGTGTAGTGGTTGAGTTGTTTGAGTATGTGCAATGTTGGTTGTGTAAGTGAGTGTGAGAGTAGTAGTTGTGTGTAACGTTGTGACAGAGGCAGAGATGGACAGTGTGATAGTCGGTGGTCGATCGTGTGTGTGTACGACGACTGGTTTTATTGTGGGTGATGGGCCGGTGACGGCCTAGAAAAATTGCATCCGACAACGATATTTCACGCCATCGGTGCGGGGTATTGGGAGTAGTTTTCAACTAGCAATAACCGCGCCTCAGATAAACTTCATTGGCTACGGTACCGCCACTGCGCAAAGTCAACCGAACAAGTCCAATCAACACGTGGCCACCATTTCGCTCAAACCAAATCACCAGCCATCCATTTGCACATCAAACGTCACAACGTGCACAAACACCACACTGCATTGCACCATTCCACAAACACACACTTCCAACATCAAAACCCACCCCGGAATCAACATTCTCATCCACATCAACACCGAACAACACTCACTGCACAGCTACACTTTCCATCATCTACACATGTCACCACTTATACTACTTATACACACATTCTCAGTAGCTAGTCGTCTTGTCACAAAAGTCAACTTCTCAACAATAACCTCTATACTACAATGCGACAACCACACACATGTGAACTGCACTAAAACAGCCGTTGTACACGATTCGACTGAAGCACACTCTCACTCGTCTACACAACCACACTCACTCACTAACACCAATGTGAACCGCTCCCATGGAGACTCGACAAAACTGTCTCACCGAGAATCACCTCGTCGTCATTTAGTGTAATGTCAAATTATACTATGGAACGGCTCAGTCACAAGCCACCCAGTCTACCAAGTGTTCTGCACAATTGATGATGTCGCACTCATCAATCATTGTGCTTCGTACAGATATATAAAGGAGAGAGTGAGAGGTCCCATATGCTAACAGGTGAATGAATAAGCATCTCAGTCGATCGGTGAGCACAGCGAACAATTACAAGTTGATCTGCTATACTGTATCGATCTGACCCTCGGTTCATCACCCTAAACATATTCCGCAATATCACCCAAATTCTACTTCATGCTAATGATCAGAGTGGTTGTCAGGATGATGTGTGCTTTCTGATCGATGTGCAGTGAGACTGTGTTCGAGTGATTCGAGTTTCACTTGTGCTGTCGTGACCAATGGACATGTCTGTCATATGCATTATAGTAGTTGAGGTCAGTAAGGTATTAGTAGCACCGTTTATAATGAATGGCTTGTGTATTGGAATGATTTTATACTAACCGAAGACAAGACGTCGAATCGGAACTCAGGTTTTTACTGATTTTGGAAGATTATATGCTGTAGGAGAATCTTTAGGGAAATCGCCTTCTAATTACTGTTTTGCATATTCATGTCAAATCGTACTGTCTTCCAGCGATGATTTTCGGCATTTTATATAGTTAGGTATAAGATTCAGTTCAGTGCATGGATTCACGTATGGTTGCATTGAAGATGTTTGTTTGAACGTTATAATATAGGCACAAGTGAGGCTATTCGGTTAACTTAAGAAAAGTCTTTGTAAATAATGGTTGTATTAGGATATATAAGATTTGAGTCTATTAGAAGAATATAATGGTTAATTTGTTTTTTTTTCTGAGGAAACATACTGGGAGAAATTATGTTTTATAAGGAATATAATTTTAAAAAACAAATAATAGATTATGTGATTCAGTAAGATTGTGATGATTTTAATACATAATATAAGGTGACACACCGTTAAAACCTGTCATCATTCAGTATACATTGTAAAAAAATATATTATAGGCATTATGAACAGGTATAGAGTTAACTTGTAGCATAATAAGAAAAATTTTGACATTTAGAACGCAAATTACAATACAATGATTAAATTGTCACAAAGATTGATCTGAACTATAGAAGCTGATCATGACGAAGAAATTATTTGATCATATAATCTAGCGAACAACATTTGAGTAGAGTACAATAATTGTAAACATGAACAAATTTCAATTCACGTTTACGCACACGTATAGTTAGATTTCTGAAATCCGAATTAGAAAAAAACAAAGAGGTTATTTAACAAAGAGAGTGAGTGATATGATGTACATTCAATTTAAACGTTTTATAAATTGAAACAATAAGTACCAATCAAATGGATATGAATAATAAGCATTTTTTAAAAAATCCAAAAAAGATGAAATTCATAAAACTATTCATCAGAATAGCATATATTATCAGTCATAATATTATTTCAAATAAAATTCTATTAGGTGAGACTCTCTATTATGTAACTAAGTGCAATAATAACTTAAGTTATGACAATTTCATTTAATTAAAGAATTTAATGCTACTATGTTAAATTGTATTATCATATATTTTTTTTTTAGGGAAACAATGTAAAATTTGAGTAAGGACATAACAAATTTTTTTCCTGTTATGCATATCAATTTGACTAAAAATAGATGTACTAGTGAGCAGATATCGAAGCTTCCAAAAGTTTTGAATCATAAAACAAGTGAATAATATCACTATTTTGAAAGTGTGTAGATTGTACAAAACTAGTAGCGCAATTTTACCTACTTCAATTAATTCAGATGATTTGATAGCAAGCAAAGAGGTAGATCTGCTTTTTCAGAAGAGGAAAGTGATGGTCTGAGAGAAACTGAACATGTTACTTGATTATATTTGTATGCTTTTTTAAAGTCAAGAGGCTAGTTGAGAGATGATTAACACAAGGCATAATTATTGAAATAAGTTGATTATGCATCTATAATTATATGAACATATATTAAGTTTCAAGGGTATTAGCTGATTTAGCAAAAGAGATGTAAAATCTAAAATACAACTTACATTTACTGGCTTAGATAGATTGTGTTTTTAAGATCGTTTATTAACTTGACCAATCAACACACATATACATAACAGTAGAGAGTAATGTTAAAAGTGTGTTGGAAAATATATTTATAAGGAATATATGCTAATAACTTACTTGATTTATGACTATTGTTTGAGATATATTGTGACCAAATATTATATCGCTTTATAAGACTAGTTAAGATACTTCGTGGAAATCGTTTTCTATGATTTGACAGATCAGATGTAAAAGTGACAGCTGAATCGACACAACTAAAGTTTTTCTAAAATAAAACAATTTTTCGAAAATTTCATGTTTGATTGGATAATAATAATAATAATAATAATAATAATAATAATAATAATAATACAGACGAGAATATATAATCAAAATTAAGCACTTAATGCCAATGCACTTAAAAGTTAAAACGAACATAATATATATCATCAGAAAATTAACCATTCTAGTTTAGTCAGCACCAATAATCCATATTTTACAGAGACATAATAATGATGTGTGAATATACTGTTTTAGAAAGAACACATATTGTTATTTGAGTTGATTTGCAATTTTTGGATTGAATTAAAAATAATAATGTGAATCAGATTAGTCTTTGAAAAAGTCAAAGTACACTAAGAAAATTCATTCATTGATATTCTACAGATTTTTCAAAATGAACATTTCGATATTTTTTTAGAAACCTTTATTTAACTTATTTTTTTCAAACTGAGTCAGTCCACTTATAAACATAAACTTTCTAGTATACTGCAGAAAAGATGTTCCAAATAAGCATAACACGGACGTTAAATTAAATAAAATTAAGCAAATGTATGTGTGAAAATACAGAATACTTTTTCCAATATTTTAAGGGTAAAATTGACAGAAACGACAACTTAAAATGGGCTCTTGTATCGCTGTCACAGACCAAATATGTCATTAGAAATAAAACCAGTTTGCTAAAATACGGAAATCAAAAATTTAAAAACACCTACTTTTTCATTTGATTGGGAAACTGGAAGAGATTGGCAGAGAAATTCTGCGGGTATCACAGGTTTAAGAAGGGTAGAAGACTCCAGAGGAAATAGATTTGGAGCATACTGTAGACCAGAAGCTGAAGCATTTTTAGAAAATTTATTAAAATTTACCACGGAAAATGCGTGCTGTCTACACGTAGACCAAGAACATACAGGGATGGAACTACTAGTCGAAGAAAAGGAGCACAAAATGGAACGACGTGTTACTTCAGTAGGCATCCAAAACAAAGGAAGAGACGGAAAATTTGCATCTGAATGAGTTGATACAGAGTGTGAAATCTCACTCAGAGGTAGAGCTGGTAAATCTGTAAGTTTCGGATTAAACTGCAAGCTAGTTCTCCCAAAAGAAGCATCAGCAGAAACGTTGTATTGCGAAAGAGCATTCGACAGCGGATTCAAATGCGATAAATTTGAAGGACAGACTTCGCTTGTATTATTTACAACAGAGGTGCCTGAATTTCGGTAGTAACAAAAAAACAAAATTAAACATGAAGAGCCTTTAAATGATAACTTTTTTTTACCGAAAAAACCGACAAAATACTATGTTTTAAATCTCTGAGATGTTGTCTTACTGAAGTATCGTGGAAGAAGTAAGATAGTAGTGAACAGGTGTAAGGTATGGAAGAAAGTTGTGTGAAATAATTAGACTTGGTATCAGATACAACTAACCATACAGTATCGATAAATTAATTTAGAACACAATTAGTCAAAACCAAAGCTTAATGAAGCATAACGAAGTATCTGCTAATTCAGTAATGCATATAGACAGATGAAAGGCCTATCAATCCACCTAACGATATCTTCGTAAGTATGTAACAATGCATACGGCTTCTCAAATTACGACATGGTAAAACGCATATTATGTACCTTAGTTCAAATGAAGTGGACTGTGCATTTCTTAACCCTTTTCGAATCACAGGTTTATAGGCGCATTTTGTACGATATGCTGTCTCCCAATATCAACTTAAAAGTACTCATATGACGGTTTCATTACAGTATAGACAGACTAACTACAAAGTGTTATATTAAGACCAGTCTGATTCGCTTCACCTTTTAATTCTAGGATGCAAGTTGGAATGATAGTGATCAATGTTTAATAATAAATAAAAGGTTTAGCTGAAGAGCTCCTTAAAATCCAAAAAGGGCAGGAACTTAGTCTCACTTTTTGACATTTAAATTCATGATTATAAAAAAACATTAATACTCTTATGAAACACAAACTGGACACGAGTAAAATGAATTACGGCTTGGGAGACTTACGATTTTTATGGGTAGTATCACAGATTTTGGTGTAAAGCGAATGTGAAAAACTCGGATGATGTACAGAATAATCTGTCAATTCATAATGGTCTGCATGTGAGGAAAGTTTACTAGGAATATAGGCTAGTGAAAAAGAATGAGGAAGTGTTTTGTAAACAAATGCATCGTTAACTTCAGCATAAACAGTTGAACCATTATCCAAAGTTCGATGATCGTTAATATGGGATTGACCATGTTTATAACTAAGGTCAGCTGTAGATTGATCAAAAGCTGTAGTTTTTAACAACAAATTTTGTTCATTGGATAGCACCGGAGACGGTGAATGAGAATGAGCAGAATCGGTATGTGGATGAGGCCTTTTAGGTCGATTAGGATGAGGGCGACGTGACTCTAGTTCTAAAGTCTACATAAATAACGTAAGAGAAAAATATTAAGTTAAATATGAGCATATATATATATATTCATGTACAGAAAAGAAATTCTTTACAACGAACAAATCCAAGATTACAAAGGAATTGCACTTTTCTATCCAAAACAAACAAGCAAAAAAGGCTAGGAAGGACAACAATAATTCAAAATGCAAAGAAACACGACAACCATTTAACCAATAACGTAATACATTAAAACAATAAATGAAAAGTAATCAAATGACAATGTAAACTTGTAATTATCATTTTCATCATTGAAAATAATTTAGTGGAAGTTCTATTGTCTGAAAAGAAAGCAAAAGTAGTAAAAAGCTTAGTTAAGTTACCATTGAAAATAAAAACAGACTGATAAAGAGTATATCAGGTATAGAGAATAATTTATACCCACTGAATGTTATTTATATTTTCCGTCTTAAATCACGAATCAACCTTAGCTAGACCACTACTGAAAACCTAAGAGCACTGGACAGCTATCTCGTTCTAGTATGGGACTCTTCAGCAATGCTTATTGAAGACCATACACTCAGGTATCGAAAGCAGAACCCTCAATGTTACACACGAACACTTAACCACTGAGCTGAGATCTAACGGTGTGTGTCTGAATTCAACTGATGATATTGCGTAACTCCATTGGTCACAGCTTTTTACTAACTTAGGTCAATTTGCAGCTTTAAAATTATAAAGATTTTTCAACCCTTACGAATCATTCTATAGTTTATTTATATAGTGGACAAATGCCCATATTTTGATAGAACAATTTAACCGATAAAAAATCAAACTCTTATTATCACAGCTAATAACAATTAAGATGAATAAACATTATAGGCTTCACCTGTTGATAGTATTGATACAGTTAGAATATGCAGAGATATTTACCATGTATTTGGTGTTGTTGCTAATCGATTCAGTAACAAGATACGTAAGTTTAAACTGTTATATCTAAATTGTTTCTTTCAATTGAAATATCCTACGAATTGTGAGGATAAAAAGCATTTTCTAAAAACGTGAAAACATTTCACATATAAATGCATATGAAAAATAGTTCAATAAATAACTTGGTTTGAAATGAAGATTATGGATGTATGGATGACAGTAGCCACTATACAACAAATGAGTACAATTTAGGATAAACGGCTATACATTGTGTTGATAAGTTTTTAAGTGGATTAAAAATCTCCTTACATTAAACAATCTGATCTTCAGAAACACCCTGAGAATAGTTTGCTTATAAAGTTCATAATGGAAGTATGCTTTTGACCATTCAAAATAACAAATACCAAAGATGTACTTGATATACCTCTAAAATATAGTTTATTGAAAACAGTTTTTAAATCATTCTTCTATTTGTTGTAATAATTAATAGGGGATAAGTGAGAAAATGGTGTATTCAAAATTGAATTACCGATTCTCACAGACAACTAATATGTGATGAGAGTATTAGAACTATTTAGAGAAAGTATTCAACTAGTATAGTATTTTCTTCTGGAATAAATTTCACAACATAGAACTCTAAAGGTATGCGCCAAGATAATCTTCAGAAAGTCACAATAGTGTATACATCAGTCGGTAGAAACATGATCGATAATGTTTCTATGTCAATAACAATTCATTAGAAGAAATCATGTAATATATAGGAATTTTTTCGGTTTACAAAGAAAAAACGAAGTTCTATCAACCTACTGATATGATATATAAGAGAAGGAACATTTGAAATGTTTTTTAGAGGTGAGTATAAATCATGGAATCTTAGCTTATACTCTGGTTACCTTGAATTCGTAAGTGCAATAAAGATGAGAACGCATTTAAAAAATAACAATCATTTTCTGACTAGTGTATACAAAAAGTTAAACTGTCAAAAAAAATACACTTACAACCGATTGGGTAACTTTGGGGAGCTCAGCGTAATACTCTTCTACAGAAGAATTAATACTGGGTAAAGGGGTAGTTGTAGAACATGACTGTGGACAGACTGAACAGAATACACCAGTCTGAGACAGTAAAGGAGATGTAGGAGACATTTGGCGCATTTGTTCACATACTGTAGACAATGGGATATCACACTCTGGGGAACTGAGCTTTTCAAGAAAAATATTAAACAGAACAAAAAATAAGTGGCAATGAAATGAAGAAAGTTTTTACATATAATTTTGGGCACTAGTAATGCAGTGTACTTTGCATACACATAAATGTCACCCAAACTACATCAATAATGGAGAATATTAAAACAAGCACCCAAAAGCCTCCAAACACTAATAAGTACGATTTATATAAAATGGAATCTACACTTTTATAGTCAGTATGATACACAGGTTACTAAGGAAAATTAAAGCATGAAAAACATACGAATTAAAAAGTTTTAAAACTATAAGAATACTTTTTGATGATAACAGACAATGAATTATGCCAAAAAGTCATACATGAATTAAGCTTATCTCCCTGTATTTTATCTCAAATAAATAAACATGGAATCTATGAAAGCTAAGACTTATGACTAAATTTGTAACATAACTATTAGATTTACATACAAAAGTTTACATTTCTCACGTTTAACCTTCAGGAGTAGTTTTAACGCTGTAATGTACACGTTTTCAACAACGTAAAAATGCAGTAAAAAGTGCAGAATTTTAATTTTATTATAGTAAGTCAGTCATACACAACGCTGAACCTGACACATACGAGGATCCATTCAAGCAAAACTGGCAAGGCAAATATTAGAATAATAGATGTAGTAACAGTAATGATGTTAACAGAAAAGATTTGAGAAATTCGAGGTTAGTGGAAAGTGAAATATTCTTAAGGTAACTTAGAAACTGAATTTCATATTTGCTGAACATCTAAATGGTTTGTGCTTTGTACTTACAAACTAAAGGAGGACAAGGAGTGAGTTGACTTGGTTTAACCATCTCACTCGATAAGCATCCTAGAACAATAATCAACAACATGTTGATAGGGTAGCTTTAGACAGAGCTAGTGTATTAACCAAAGATTGCTTAATTGTTCTTAGAATAATTCTAATGTTTACTAAGACGCACGCACGTGCGTGTACACAGTACCACATAGATTTCGCACAAATCATCACGCACAACAGCTTTAAACCTAGACAAGAATACGCAGCGATTTAATCAAACCCAGCTGTGCTGTTCAAAAAGCAATCATTAAAAAATCGAGTTATTTAGAAGGTAGACATAATGGTTATCATATGGATAATAATTCTAATTGTGATAGAGAAATGAAAATGACAAGACTCTGATTATAGATGTATCGAGGAAAGCTGGCAAAATTCAAACCAGAACGATTAAGAGCAAATAAAAAATAATAACCATGATACCAACAGTAATGAAAAACTAAACAATATATATGTAAAAAAAAATCAGACTGAGAATAAGATGTAATACAGTCTATGAGAACTAGAGAAAGAATGTAGTTTAATCTCACAAGAAGAATAAATCTTCAATTGAGAAAACTTCATAAGCAGAGACGGCAAGTGGTTAGCAGTGCAATCTACGACGCAAGTTTAGTCCTATTTGGGACTCGTCAGCTGGATGTACCAGCATCCAAGAGTTAATGTTCACGCATAGACTTAAACTCAGTATCGCCCGCTTCAAACACCATTGCATTATCCATTGAGTTCAAACATCCATACAATTGTGAAATGAAATTTACTTTATATTTATTGATTATTTGGATCTTCCTACTGATTTTTCAGGACCGCAGTTAATTATTCCTTCTTGGAACATGCACAGAAATTTCTGATTACAATGTTTGTGACTTAATGGCAATATCGAGGCGACCTGCACAGGATGCACACATGCCAAAAGGGCAAATATATACATTTACGTTTACTTACCATATTCTGTCGGGACAAGTGTCTATGAATGTTGGGCTTTTGAATAATATTTAAATGAGTAGTTTCTACACCAGGAGTTCTAGAAAAAAAGCTTTCAGCTGGAAGTGACCTTAAACTCTGGAAATTAAACGCATTCGTTGGACTAACAGGGAGCCAAGGGAGTGAGATTACATCTTTTGGTGGATGATGAGGAACTGATGAACAGACAGAGTTGACGTTCTGAGAATCAAGTGTAAATTGTGGTTTAGCAATTGGACTTCTTGAGGATGCTGAAAAGTTTGATGTACATGTGTCTGAGAAATGGTCATTATTATCATTATTAACGATGATGTTGGAACAAACTGAATTATTAGAACGATCTTTATTCATTCCAAAACTAGAGTACCAACCAGTGAATTCTCCAGCAAAAACACGTTTGTACAGTTCTTTGGAAGAGAGGTAAACAAAAAGAAATAAAATCAAACCCAATAGAAATAATGCAAATATATATATATTATAGTGGGAGAGAAAATAAACGAATGCAACTGAGTCACTGTGACACTAAACATACTGGTGAGTTCCAATGACTATCGAGTGTTGCTCAGTATGTAACAGTGAAAGCAATGTCAATTACTTGTCAAACTTTGGAGTCAGTGCAAAAAAAGCACTGAGGTTCAACTGCTTCAACATGTATGTACTAGCAAATTTCTTTACGAATCAAAGAATGTGAGATAACAGTTTAGCACCTATTAGGATAAATACATTAACTTTAGTTATAAAAGAAATATATTTTATTGAATATACCTTAGATATTAGTTGAGAATAAGTGATGATTAGAATATTGTTTTATTTATTCAAAGAGAATCCATGTGCAAATGCTTTGGATAAAAATGCTTATTCAATTGCCATTACATTATTAAAATAATCATAAGTTCATAAAGATAAATGAATAACTGAAAACGCACCAGCTCTTACATCATCCGACCGAGACACAGATAAGAAACCCAATGAAAATTTTGCATTATCTTTTGTAGACTGAATATTTTTGCACGTGATAGGACGAAAGCTATTTGTGTAGTCACTTTCATATTCTGTGGAAACACCAGATGACGTTGGATATTTTCCAAGTTGAACTTTTACTGGTTCGTATTCCAAAGATGGTAAAAGTAAGGGGCAGCTATACTCTTGTGCTAAGTGTTGGATTAATTTTAACCCATGGACAATGCCTTCAGCTTCCACAGGGATTTGTTGGGAAGATCCTGAGTGAAATGCTACAAGTAATATTACTGGAGTGAAGTTGTGTTCATTAAAAGTATTCAAGTTAAACGCAGAACAAAGTTTATTGAG